ATTTCTCTTGATGGAAGAGATGAGTGGCTTCCATGACTTGTTGAGACTGAACCCTGTTTCCTTGTTCATGTTGTTTGGATGGAGCTCGATCTCAACGGCCTCCAGGATTATGCGATCTAGGTACCGGCTCTTGCTGGTGATTATGGCGGTTTTGTGAAACTGGATACGGTGGTCTAGATCGATGCTGTGTTCAGCTACGGCTGACTTGTCCGGATGTTCTAATCGTATATGCCGTTGATGTTCTTTCAACCTGGTGTCCACAGAACGGCCCGTCTGCCCGATGTAGACCTTGCCGCACTCACATGGAATTCTGTAAATTCCCGGTGTCCTCAGTCCCAGGTGATCCTTGACAGGCCGGAGGAAATTAGATATTTTCTTTGGGGGCAGGCCAACTGATTTCATGTTGTGTCGGGACAGCACTCTGCTGATCCTGTTGAATATAGTCCCGACAAAGGGCAAGAAGGCGACAGTTTCTCTGCGGTCATCAGGTTGATTGCTGTTGGGATGGCGGTTGAGGGCCCTGTGGATCTGCCGGTCGTTATAGCCATTGCATTTGAAGATGTCCTTCAGGAACTCCAACTCCGCACGCAGACTCTCTTGATCGCACAGAGCTCTGGCCCTATGTACCAGTGTGGACAGAGCTGCCTGTTTACTGGAAGGGTGATGATGGGATTTGGCATTGAGATAGAGGTTTGTGTGTGTGGGTTTGCGGTATTGTCATCGCCGTGAAAACCTCAAAAATTACATGTACCATATTTGTTGGTCTGTCCAGACAAATACTGGGATAGTTCATTGAAATAGGTCACGACTGCTTCAATGCCCTTTCCATTCATCAGTTATAAACTCCAGCTTATCTTACCAATGCTACATAACCACAACAGTTAGTTAGTTATTAGAGAGGGTGGGTTTCCCCATGCACTTAGACCTGTAGTGGTCCATTGTGCTTCCCTCTATGATTTCTACCAGCCTCTATATCCTACCGGTATTGGTGCTTACCATCAGTTCTGCCCAGCCAGCGAGATCGGCTCTACTGGCTGAGAAGTACCTATAATGCTTCCTCCATCTACCGGAGGTATTAGTGACTGCTGTCGGGCGGCAAACGTCTGCAGTTTTGCTCAGTGACCTCCTTTGGAGGTATGAGGTTCTTTTACGTGCCATAAAGCTACGACACGGGACCCACGGCTTAAAGTCCCTCCCGGAGGACTTGTTCCCTGAATTTTTCCGCTCTTAAAAATTCGACGACCTCCGCCGGGTATTTGAACCCATGTACTACGAGTCATGAGGTGGGAACGTTACCTCTAGACTACGGAGGCCACTAACCACAACAGTTAACAGAGTATTAAAAATAAACCAAGAGTCATTTTTGCATTTAGTATAGTTGGTTGCGGGACTATACTACAAGCCGGAAGGTTGCGGGTTCAATTCCCAATGAGGTCATTGGATTTTTCAGTTGACCTAATCCTTCCAGCTGCACTATGGCCCTGGGGTCAACTCAGCCTCTAACAGAAATGAGAACCAGGAATCTTCCTGGGGGTAAAGGGTGGCTGGCTGGTGTGTAAAGCTGACAACCTCACCGCCATCTGTGAGCCGACTGTCTAGGAAATGTGGAAGTCTCGACGTCCTGCAACCTTATGGGCCTCCACAGCCTGTTACAAAGGATAGCTTTACCTTCACACTGTTACAGCAGTGTTAAAACTTGTGTATTTGAAATCTTGTTCCAAAGTTATGTATAATGCAAACTGTATTTTTCTTTTTGTTACATAATTCTCATTTACATAAATTTACACTTTCCTTGAGTCTACGTTTATTTTAGGCAGCCCCATAAATTGTAAAATCAAGGTTTCATTGTGTGATGTTCTGATGTCTGATGATGGTTCCATTCCATGTTCATAACTTTGTTCTCTAATCTGTAATTTTCTCAATAGGTGTAATAATAGTTTCCCATGATGAGCGGCTGATACGAGAAACTGACTGCACACTCTGGGTAATAGAAGATCAGACAATCAATGAAGTTGATGGAGATTTTGACGATTACAGGAAAGAACTGCTGGACAGTTTGGGAGAAGTTATCAATAGCCCAAGTATAGCAGCGAATGCAGCCGTCAAACAGTAGCTAGACATAACTGCTCTTTTTCAACAGAACTGATAAATCACTTTACAAAACTGGAAAAACATGGTTGGTATTCAGTTTTTGCTGTTACTGAAGTCAGGATTTACTCGAGCCTAGATTACAGTACCCCAAGTAACACTGCAAGTATAAATACAGAAGATTGTCTAATATGGATTAAATAAGCAGGAGTTTATTACAGTAAGTGCAGCTTTAAATAATGTCATAACAAACATGAACTTCAATACCTGATATAACAGAAGTTGTGAGAAAGAACACATTGCCTCCTACTCTCTAAAATGATTCCATCTTTGTAGACAATCTGGCCAAACTATAGAATGATCTGATTACACCATCCAGTGTGACTCAAAAGTATATTTATATACATATGATGCCTTTATATGTTTCGGTCATGACCATCTTCAGGAGGCAAATAACACTTGAGGAAACTATTACATAAGTCATAGTACATCAAGTTCAGAGTTGTCCAGAGTTTTATATATAAAGATTTTAAGTTAAGCTAAAATGTGGTGAGTTAAAATACTGTCACATATAGGGGGGTATGCGTGATGAAATGATGGGTTCTAGCTCAGATGATTGGATTTATTAACAACACAGAATCTTAACCAACTGTATAAAAAAAAACACTGCCCAGACATCCAAGGGCAGCAGTCTACCCAATCTCCCGTAGATAGAAGGGGCATGAAGATGTGAACCTTAAGTGGTTTAAGATTTTAAATATTAAGAATTTTATTAATATTTTAACTCACCCCATTTTAGTTTAACTTAAAACCTTTATATATAAAACTCTGGACACATTTTAAATTGATGCACTATGATTTATGTAATAGTTTCCTCAAGAGTTAATTGCCTTCTGAAGATGACCATGAATTGACCAAAACATGTATATAAATATACTTCTGAGTCATACTGGACTCAAATCATTCTATAGTACTGACTAGTGTGACAGACCAAGAATGAATAAAGTTAAATCTGGCCAAACTTAAAAAAGAAATTAAGAATCACACAATTTATGGAACTTTCTACACAAAACTTTGAGAAGTAACCTCAAATATTTGTGCTTCATACAGCATTTCTGACAGCATTGATTCTTATTAAATTTATGTTTTTTAATACAAATGTATTATGAAATTAAATATTTACTTTATAACTTGTTCGAAACATAATTTTAATGTAATATATATCATGTGAAATAAATACGAAGGTTGCGTTAGGACAAGAAGTAAAATTTTAATCCTGATTGGTTGATGTAGACTAAAGTCTTTTTCTTTTTTCTTTTTGCTGTTCTTATTAAGATTTCATCAGAATCAGACAAAGGAGTTACGCATATTTGCTTATGGAAGGTCTAAAAAGTGTGGAGCTATTTGGAGAATTTCAGAGGTTAATGTCAGTTGCAGGCTGATTAATTTCATTGTAAGGGCCAAATTAGTCTCATTAGCTATGTCCTGCCTTCCCTGTGGCCTGTCTTATGATTATAAAAACTGAAAACCATTGTTCTATGGGAACAGTGGTGTTCAAACATACAGTACAATAATACAAGGCTGCCAGGTACGACTACAAGTTAAACCTTTCCAATCAAGTAGAAAATGCGTTTTGCATGCAATTCATAGCCAATGAAGGCCGCGTGGCCTTGACTGCATCAGGCTCATGGGGGTAAGAAGAAACAGAAGATAAACTGATCACACTCCATTCAGCTGTTGTGCAGCAGAGAAAGAATAAAGTTATACTACTTCAGAAGTGGTGAGCGCAGTTATCAGCCAGGATATCAAATACCCTGACTGAAAATTTCTCTGCTTTTCCTCAGAGCCTCCAGATGAATGCCGGAATAGTACCTAAAAACAGGTGTAAGGTTTAAGAGGTGTTGATTTATGAAAGGAGTGGTAAAGCATTCTGGAACTGTCTCAGTTTGATGTTCTGTGGGACAACGAAATGAGAACGGCTGTGTGGAGAAATCTGTAAATTCTTTCAGTGCACATAGGGACATCAGAATGCAAAATCATACCTAAAAGTGGATGATGACCTAACTGAAAATAAATCTCTTACATTTTTTATACCTGGAGAAATATTTTAGACCAGCACTGAAAAGGAAATCTGTTATTGTAAATTTAAAAATAAATTAATAACATTCCATAGCAGAACACTGGATTTCTGTTCAGGCAGTTAATAAATGTCCCAGGAAAAAGTATTTCCCTTTCAGCGGATAGATGTTAGAAGGTTAAACATGTTCCAGACAGTTTGTCATCCTTCACTTCTGAAGTGTCATCCATGTAAGCCATATAAAACTAACATTTAGCAACCTCTAGTAGGACATATATATCACTGTGCAGGTTGGTATGGTGCCAGTGCTGTAGACTTGTATTTGGGAGGTGCTTGGTTCAAATCTCAGCTGGGACATTGCCCAGACTCATTTTCCACAGGGTTGCCAAGTGAATGCCAGGATAATACAGTGATTAGGCCACAATTCATATTCACTAGTCATCCTGCTATTCGACACTGTAAAGTGTGAGATACTGACAAGCTCCTGCAGTAAATCACAAAGACATGCTTACTGCTGTAATGAAACAAAAAAAAAAAAAAGTAAATTGATTATATGCTCTTGAAGTGAACTGGATTATGTGAGAACAAACTGTCACGTTTAGCAAGGATGACAATGATGTTATTAAAAGGGGACATATTATTAACGTCATCATTATTCATATCAAAGCTAACTATGAGTTGCTCACACTGCCATTTAAAAGAAGAAACTTAGCTGTTGTCACAATCCTATAAGAGACGGAACCAGTTGGCGGCAGTTCCAGGTGCAGTTTATAAAGCCTTCCTACCCACTGCACAGACTTTCAGCACTTATGTTGTATTTATATAATGTCAATGTATAATCCACTAACAAAAGTAAATTTAGCTTCATTGGAGGCTCGAGAATTTGCAGGAGACAAAAGAATTCCTCTGTCGTACTTTCTCATGTATGAGGGGCAGTCAAATGAAAACAGGTCAGAAGCCAAAACATATTAACATTTCTTACCTCAAAAGTAATCTCCAAAACTCTTAATACATTATCCCACTTGGAGATAAAACGGTCAATCCCATCCTTTAAATGGCTTGTGGGCTGTCTACGGAACCACATCTTTACCCAGCCACACGTCTTTGTCCAATGCAAACTGATGTCCACGAATTTCTCTCTTCAGGTCTCCAAAAATGTGAAAATCACATGGGGAGAGATCTGGGCTGTAGGGGGGATGTTGAAGCACTTCCCAACCAAATGTCTATAGCGTATTCCTCACAGAGTTGGCAGTGTGGGGGCGTGCATTATCATGAAGAAGAATCATGCCGTTCGATCGCATTCCAGAGCGTTTTGACTTTATGGCATGTCTCAGTTTCTGCAAAGTGTCTTCATAGCTCTCGGGTTCAAAATGGTGGCACCAAGTTTCATCCCTAGTGGCAATACAGGACAGAAAAGCATACTCTTCCTTGTGGTATTGTTGCAAGTGACCCAGTGATGCAGCCATTCTCTGAGTCTTCTGTTCCTCTGTGAGTTGATGTGGAACCCACTGTGCACAGATTTTGCGGTACAGCAGGCGTTTTGTCACAATGGTGTGTATGGAACCATGACTTATTCCCATCAAGAGACTAATTTCTTCCACAGTGATCCATTGGTTTGCCTGGATATGACCATCCAGGGCAGCAATAACATCAGGAGTGATGACACGATGAGCCTGTCCTGGGCAAGCATCATCTTGCAGTGATGCACGTCCCTCTTGGAATCTCTTATGCCACGCCAGCACAGGCGAATGTGACATGCGACGATGAATTTCTCATCATACTCCTTCAGCAGTCAAACAGCGCACTACACTTCGCTGTTCTTTACCCGCCTCCATTACTGATGTTGGACGAACACACGTAGTGCTAACCTTACTTCCAGCACAATACACACACGACTAGTGTGCAAGGTCACGTCACTGTGCTTTCCCAAGTCCCCACCACATGTCTGTACCGTAAGCAAATTCCAGTGTTACCAACTTGTGCACCATGTGAGTTATGCATGGTGACCCATTTTCATTTGACTGACCCTCATAAATTGCTATAAATGGTAATGTAACATAGCCTGTAAGTTATATTTTGGAAATTCCTGGAACTTATATTAAAATTAAGTCTGAAATACTGTAATTTTATGTCATATTGAACTGCTGTTTTAGTTTATGTCAATGAAATGTGGAACTATTTTATATACACAGTAAGTTGTTAATATCACTTGATTACTTGTATATCATTGAAATAAATATATTGAGAGGATGTTTTTTTTTTCTTAAATATTCAACAGGAAAATGAAATAAAATCACAGATTTGATCTATAGAAATGCATGCTGTAACAGTCGATTTATTTTTCAAGAGATTCAAATTTGATTGTTTTTGTGTGAAAGCTCGAAGTGGGAACATGTTCGCGCTTATTTATTGCTGCAGAAAATCGCGTTTTCTGTATTCTGCAGAACAGAGCCAGTCCAGCCATGTGATCAAGCAGAAGAGCTGCTGACAGTTGAAAGTGAGTTGTCTGTGATGTACAGTAATATGCTCAACTGTTTAGACTTAATGAAAAACTAAACTGTCAGCACGTCTTCAGTACATACATACATACATTTAAACCATAGTGGCTGCTATCAGAAGTTGACTTTCTGATGTGCTGTTTCACATGTTGTGGTCGTTATTGGGTTCATCTCAGATTGAAATTAAATTTGCACCAGACAATAAGTATTTGTAATTCTGTGGCTGTGTGGGGTAACTGTTGGATTTGTGGAGAACCTTGTTATAATACAGTAAATCCTTGCTAATCCAGATTAGTGAAGCAAAATGTAACCCTAAAAGACAAAAAAAACTTAAAGAACACCAATAAATGGGGAATATCAGTGTAGAGCCTTTATTTAAAAACCATGAAAACATGATACATTTATTCATCGAAGACTCAGAAGTTGTATTTGTTTTTGAATGTAATAATGCAGGTTTGAAGAAACTGTCTCAAGTTTTGTCTGAACAGATGAGTGACTCATCTGCCTTCCTACAAGTCATGTGTCTTTTAAAAAGTATGTACTCAACTGTGACCAGCATTTTTCATATTTTGATCCAGATTAACTGTAACTGGATTATGAGGGGTTTACTGTACTCTTAGTAATTAACATACTTTAGAAAAAGAATCTTCAAGCATACATTGAAAAATCTACAGAGTGCTTTATCACAGAAATAAAGTACATTATGTTTCCTGTTTGTTATTTCCAGTAGTTATAAAAGTACCTGAGAGACATATGATTGTATAAATGTTTGTATGGAGACCCCCAGATACAGTCTGTGTTAACCTTTCTGGCTTCTGCCCACCTAGTCAAACCCATAAAATCCTTTTTTCAGGTACAGCTCTTGGGATGGTGAATTAATGAGCCAGAACTTTAACCACTGTTAACAGTTGTGAAGTTTTGTTGTCCAGATGGTAGTACTATGCAAGATACAGTATCCAGTTTTTCTCCACTGCATGTGCTCAGGTGGCAGCTGATATCCCACTAAGTAGTCTCAAGTGTACATGTGTAAATAAGCATTTTTTTTCAGCTTGAATAGGTCAGAATCTCAGCAATATGGTGCACATACAATATTAATAATAGCTTAACAACAGAATCATAATTTTTTCTTAAATAATGAAGATTTTCCATTGTAAAAAATATTATAAGTTATATAACTGAACAGGAACTATGCAGGTTTGATTACACCACAGCAGATAAAACTTGCCCAGGCAAGTGGCTAAATAAATGTTACACTAGGGAACTTTTCTGTTGCAAAGGGTTCTGACAGTGGTGTATAATACATGGGATCAATGAGTTTTTGGACTTTGTCCATCATCTAGTATTCAGAAGAACAGATTCCAGAAACTGGTTATGTTTCTGTCCCCATTAGAAAGAACTAACCTCAATTACATGCAGTGATTGAAGTTAGCTCTTTCTAATGGACCCAACAGTGTCGGTGCCCCCCCCCCTCACCTGAGGATGGAAATAGATCAATTTCTGAAATGTCATGTTGCTTAGAGTACCAGGTGACTGATAAAGTCAAAAAAAAATCAGTAATCCCTAGAAAAACTAATACAGTGGTTCCCAAAGTCGACTGTACCACCCCCTGGGCGGCAGTGGGATTACGAAGGGGGCCACTATGAGGCAAGAGGGTGGAACTGTTATCACTTCACCAGGCCCATCACATTAAAAATTTACTAATAGTGGAAGTAATTACTAAATGCAGTATCTTATTACATTGTTATCATCTTGCTTAGTGGGTTGTGCTAACTGCTGTTCTGAAGAATGCACTTTATAGGGTAGGGTAGGGGGCTCTGGGGATGAGTTTATGGAATCAAGGGGGTGGTGGCCCAGAAAAATTTGTGAACCACTGGGCTAATACAATTCCATAGTCTTGTAAAATACAGTGCCATCAGTTTCTTACTGCATACATGTCAGGTCACTATCTAAATTTAATAACAAGGTACAGTATAAAAAATACAAAAATAGCAAATACAAAAAGATAAAGAATATAATAATTATGCCTGCCTTTTGAAATTCGCAACACTCTGCCCATGGTGTTCCCTAAAAACCCACCAGTCTTCTCAAAGTCATCATCCACCTCACGCAATAATCTGTCTTGATATTTCACTTCATCGCCGATATTTAATGACAGTGATTTCAGCATCTGTACTTTGCCTTTCAGCTCATCAGCCAGGGCATCATTCTGTTGTTCCACTGTGTCCTGATCACTGTACTGCGAGAGTGGTTGATAGTAGTGACCACTTCCGTTAGCCCTCCTCATTCTGCTGCCTTGAATGCCTGTTACTTATGGTGAAAATTTACCCTGATGCAATCCACAATCCTGAAAACAAGGCCATGAACCTAAATTGGTGAACAGTTTTGAGTTGTAACATTCCAGTCTTCTGAGTTATGATGCCATGTACAGAGTTTACCATTCTGAAGGAACATTTAGCCTTGGTCTGCATTCTCCAAAATAATGATACCCACCTACTAGACTACACGGCATCATAACCTGCAAAACTACAATATGAATCATCACTCTCATGGAAACCTCAAATCATGTAAAACAGAAGAGCTCATTCTGTTGCACTGTATGTTTTTACGTATTGATTTCTGTCATTCATGCAAATTATACTGGAAGTTTTTAAAATTAAATTTTTAAAACTCTTAATTATTATTTCACTTTATTTGTCCTATTTTCCACAACATGTTTTGGCCTGTGACCACCATCAGGTGTGCTAAAATTGTTTTGGTGAAACTGTTGCCCTTTATATGTTCTAACACTCTTCACCCCAATTTTATGATTCAATTAAAAATTCTGAGGTATAATTTCCATTTCATGTGCAGTGTGTGTTGGTGGTTGCTGCTGTCCCCCCTCCCCCAGTTCTGTTGTGTATTTTAAAGTGCACTGAAGACAAACATGAATACATGGAAATAAAAAGGATGCTCTCAACAGGCATATATGTATAAAAGTAAAGCTATCCCTGTAACAGGCAGTGGAGGCCCACAGGGTTGTGAGACATCAAGACTCCCACATTTTCTAGACAATCAGCTCACAGATGGCAGTCAGGTTGTTAGCCTTACACACTGGCTACCTTTTACCTCCAGGAAGATTCCTGATATTCATTTCTGTTAGAGATTGGGCCAATCCCAGGGCCCACAGTGCGGCTGGAAGGGTTAGGTCAATTGAAAAATCCATTGACCTCCTTGGGAATCGAACCCACGACCTTCCAGCTTGTAACATAGTGCCTCAACCAACTACGCTACCATGTGCCCCTATATATATATTGTCACATGTCTGGGGTCCGTGATTTAAAAATATTGGGGTTCTGGATTGGATTTACTTACACTCATTTTACAACCTCTCTTGTTCACAATCAATTATAACGCTATCTCTAATCTACCCACTTCATAAATCACTATGGCATGCTCCCTTCTCGTCCTTGTACTCTCAATTGAACTGTTCAGTCGGAGTCAGAGTTACATTGTGACTGATGGTCAGTCAGTAAGTCTTGGTGTCGAGCTCCATTTGGGGCTCATGACCAGACATTAATTATTATCGTTTCACAGTTACGGTCTTGTTTCTGTGGGGCGCCTTCTCTGACGAGAGGACGGGTCTGTCTTTTGTATATGCTGCTGGCTCCTGCCAGTGCAGTCTTTCTCGGGTCCAAGTCCCTTGGGACTCGCGACCATATTTTACTATCTCAGAATTGAGACTTGAGAGAGAGAGAGAAAGACACACACACACTTACGGATCATCTTCAAAGGGAACATCAATACTTATTCGGAAACCACCATCACAGTAGGTGTTCTGATTGTTAAACTACATACACACATAATGCCTGGAATACACAATGTACACAATATTCAACTTTTCACAATCACAGCAGCCTTCCTGGTATCAAAATTTTTAATTTTTTAAAAAATTTAGCTTACCCGGACTTAAATATATTTAACAGACACGGACAAACAGAAATGGAAATATACAAAAAAAACATGACAACAGACACAACAATAAATAATAAATCATGCCACCCTAAAGAACAAAAATTGCTAGCATATAAAAACTGGATACACAGACCTGTTACACTACCCCCCTCTGAGGAAAACGCTAAAAACAAAGAATTAAACACTATCACTAATATAACACTAAACAATGGCTATAGAAAGGAAGACATCACACACCTATACAACAAACTTACGCGAAAGACGGGTAACCTGGATAATAAAGACAAAAAAAGAACAAAATGAGTCACTTCTACTTATACAGGAAATTACATATGAAAAATCACAAAACTATTCAAAAACACTAACATAAAGACAGCCTTCAGAACAGCCAACACAATAGGTAAACTAATACATGAAAAACGAGAAATAAACCCCTAAGAACAAAGTGGGATATCATCTCGAACTGTTATTCTGGGAACCACATTATATAAATTCGGGGCGGATCCAACAGAAAACGCCGTTTCCTAGCAATTCCTTTACTGTTATGAAGGTGTGTTTACATCGCTGTTGCATTCAAACTGCAATTCTATTGTTGCCTGCATATTCATCGCTGCGAGAATGTTTACTGAGTTGTTGCCCCGCAACGTGTCTACAATTGTCACGTGATGAAGTGTGACTAGATTGGTAATTGAATTTATTGAACTTCTCTAGCTGATAAATATTTTCAGTAATACTGTCACGTGTTACCTGTGTGTTTCTCTAGTTGATAAATATTTTCAGTAATATTGTCGCATGTTAACTATGCGTTTCCCTGGTAACCTACTTCTGAGAAACCAGTTATCACGTGTCTCCTAGGTAACGCGACGAATAACTGCACGTGGGTCTCGGATTTAGCGAATATTTATCGAACACACTTTTTACACACTCAAATACAGTTATTATCACGTCCAGTATCACACTTGTCCTTGTACCGTTTTTCTCGGTGTCTTTTACCGTTAAAATGCATTATTCCACTGTTTGAATAAATCGTCCTAGGCAACGGTCTGTTGGTATTCGATTTGTCGCTGTGGGACCTCAGCAATTTCCGTTGTAACCGTTGCTCAGCGACGGACGACATATAACGCGTTACAATATATTATTGCTTTCTGTCTTGAATACCTGGAGCAAATAAAACTCCGCGTTGTCAGTATTTCTGTTATATAGACAAAACTCTTAATTATCCTGTAATCATAGAGTCCGTGGAAAGCAGTGTAAAATTAATTCAAAGACTTATTTAAGTTTCTTGTTCTCTCTTTGATGTTCAACATAATATGAGGTTAAAGAATGTGATGAAATTATAGCTGAAACAAAAAATGCTCAGTCAAAACAATACTTTTTTATTAATTTATGCTCGTCATGTTCCATTTGAGTATGACCTTCTTTTCTAGATTTTCGTACATTCCTACAGATGTACTATTACATTTTCAGGTAACGGTTTGAAAAAAAGTTTTCAGTTTTAAAAATAACTTCAGCTGCACCATATTGGGTCACTGTATCCCTTTTACTTAAAAGATAAGCTTCATGAGACAAGAGTATCATTATCTATTCTATATCTACCATTCTCGAACATCATAAGCAGTTCGCTCGGTACGCCCGTTAAGTTCATTTTGCATTTACATTCACTTCATACTATGTCTCTATGATCATAACTTCGTTTTAAAACAGATCACATTGCAAAGAAATCATTCAAAACTCACGGAATTTAAGTCCTTACCCTTTCGTGTCAAAACATATGATACCATATGTAACGTGAATATTTCATTCAGAAACTCTTTCTTACCTTCCAACACGCAGTATTACGTTATATGAGATGTTTATCATAAATGACAGATTTCGCTACGTAATACAGAAAGCATTATATGTCCTTTTCTCTGTGGCGAATGCCGACCGATACGGACTGCTTTGCATACACGTCAGATACCATCAAAAAACCAGAAACCACGTCATCTACACACTGCCCGGGTGTACTCAGCAACACCCGCGGCAACTAGCGACGGCCCTCGTAAACATGAGACCAAACACAATATTAAGAAAGACCTTTCACTTCGCTGTTTCAACCACTGAATAATAGGAGTGTGGCTTTCGGGCTTACACTAATTTTGCGATATTATCAAGGTATGTATGAATGAATGAATGTACGAGGGGGTACCCAAAAGAAACCGAACTTATTTTTTTTTAAACTTATTTATTCAAATTTTAAGCACAAACCTTCAATCCCCTTCAAAGTAATCTCCACTTACACTAATACACTTGTCTAATCTTTTATTCCATTTTTCAAAACATTGTCTAAATTCATCTTTTGAGATGCTTGACAGCGCCTCCGTCGTTTTTTTCTTCACCTCAGCAACATCAGCAAAACGCTTTCCATTCATGTCTCTTTTCATTCGAGGAAACAAAAAAAAGTTTTGATCATTTCGGGACTCTTCTTTCAAAGCACAGCATGCTTCCACGCGACCTTGTTTTTGTTCAGCAGTCAGCAGTCGTGACACGAATTTCGCAGCCACCCTTTTCATTCCCAAATCTTCTGTCAAAATTCGCTGAACTGAGCTCCAAGTCACTCCCGACAGCTCCACAATTTCTTCAATGGTCCGTCGTCGATCTTCCTTGATGATTTCACGAATTTTTTCAACATTTTCATGTGTTCGGGCCGTGGAAGGACTAAGAACGAGGTTTGTCATCCATTGACATTTCACCATTTTTGAAACGGGAAAACCACTCAAACACTTGAGTTTTCCCCACAGCATCGTCCTTGTACGCCGTTTTTAACATTTCAAGAGTTTCTGTTCCACTTTTCCAGAGCAAAAAGCAGAATTTCACCGCCGCACGCTGTTCACAAATATCAGCCATTGCAAAAACGACGATCACACAAAAGAGTTGTCACTATAAACTCTGCCGAAACTAGTCCTTACCTTCTGAAGCAATGCTAGTCGCCTTATCGACTCAGGAATGTTAGCTCCATGCGCTCATAGCGGCAAAACGCGGTACTACAAAAGCTCTGCCCACAAAAAAATTAGTTTGGTTTCTTTTGGGTACCCCATCGTATAAGGGGTGGGCCTTCTTGGTCTTTGCACCGCGACCACAGTGACCTACTGTGACTCCCCTTCTGATTATCCCCTCAACAATGCTGCGCGTCGAATGAAGCGTAGGATTTTGTACGTGGGGACGTTGAAATAGTCACTTGGTTCCATAAAATATTGACCCCATTGATGCAATCTTAAATAAGCTAAGGCCTCACATTCGCACAGGATTAGCGTGGCTGTTTCGTTTTCTTCTTGACACCTCTCACAAGTGGGA